GATGGATGGATGAAAAGATGTAGGATGGATGGAAGGATGGATGGATGGATGAACAGATGTAGGATGGATGGAAGGATGGATGGATGGATGAACAGATGTAGGATGGATGGATGAAAAGATTGATGATGGATGAATGAACAGATGTACAGTGGGGAAAGTTTAATGCAGATGTTCTGAGCTCAGTTCGTCTCTCTCTGCCCCCCCCCCCCACCAGCTGTTAGTAAAAAAGTGGGCGGAGTCACAGTCAGCAGATAAACAGTAGTTTCCCTGACTTGCTCTGTTTTGTTTATTTCCTATTTGCACCTTGTTACCTCTGAATGGCTGTTTTTTTTCTCCTTCCTGTCTACTTCCTGTTTACTTCCTGTCTACTTCCTGTTTACTTCCCGTCTACTTCCTGTCCGGCCCTGGCTGCAGTTCCTGTTCCACCAGCCCCTGCGGTTCCTGAACCTGCTGATCGGGATCGAGTCCAGCGTGGTTCTGTACCAGCTGTACTCCCTGCTGCGCTCCGAGCGCTGGAACCACACGCTGTCCCTGGGCCTCATCCTCTTCTGCAACTACTACGTCCTCTTCAAGCTGCTGCGGGACCGCATCGTTCTGGGCCGGGCCTACTCCTGCCCCCTCGCCCCCAACGGCTCGGGACTCAAGTCGCAGTGAGGGACCTGCAGACCCGGACCGGCCCGGTCAGGGCGGGTCAGACTGTGAACTCACGTTGTGTTTTGATACGGTTCTATTTTTAATGCCATGTTTATATTGACCTATTTAAAGAATATTTTATTTTGTATACAGTTTTTGTGTTACTCCGGGCATTACCGCGCCGGGGGGAGGGGGTGGGGTGCCTGGGGGTGAAATCCACCAAAGATCTTTGAAGTGCAAGTGGCCAATCAGAGGTCAGGCTCCACCTGTTAGTCCTGATTCTTCTTTCTTTAGATGGAATAAATCAGCTTTGGGACAGAAATCTGTCTTTTTTAAGAAATATTTTGTCGTTTTGTCAAATATTCAGCAGAAGAGAAGGAGAACATCTTATCTCTGACTTTTTAATTTGAGATAATTTACCTTTAAATGCATGATAATTCTTTACCCTTCGTATTTTAAAGGCCTGCTCAGCCTCGCCGGATCAGTTCCAGCTCAGGGGTTCTGTTGGGAGGACTCTCAGCTACCACCACACCAAATCTTCTTATTGGTCATTTTTGCTAAGTTTTTAGCAAAGCTTTCATTAAAATCTCTTTAATAGTTAATGAGATATTTTGCTGACAGTCTCAGGCAAATACAAAATCTCAAAGTTTTGTTTTTATCAGGCTGGTTTGTCGGAGCGTTCGGGACGAATAGAAATAAAAAATTATTTTCATTATTTTTGAGATTAAAGTCAAGTCATTGAGGAAAAATGGGAAACAGCTCATTATTTTTGTAGCTAAAGGTTGTGCAGCACTTCTACTGGACAGACAGCTTTTTCCTGATTCARTTGGGGATCCACAACTTCCTGCTGCCCTTCACAATAAGAGTCTCAAATGCTCTCAGTTCATCTGAAGGTTATAAAACAATTATTTTTTATTGTTTTTTAGTAAAACTCAAACTGATCTAAACCATTAGGAATTTTGACGAGCTTGTTAAAATTAAACATCTTTTTCCTCAACATTTTAATTTCTTTGAGATCAAAAACAAAAAATGTTATTTTATTGTTTAAGGTCCTAAAAGTTCAGATCAAACCTGATGTCTCTMAGTTTATCATAGTGTCAAATTAGTGGCATCTTTTAATTCTTTATTTTTTTATGAAATGTTAAAGTATTTCTTAAAAAATCTTGATTTTTGTTTTTTTTTCCTACCAAAGCAGAGAAACTTTTAAACCCAATCTGAGAACATCAGAAAAGATCGATTTTATTTTCAGACTCATTTCAGTTTTTCAGAAACCAGTTTTTTTTTCCAACATGTTAAAATTTGTTWAAATGTTTTCAGGATTCAAAAAGCACATGAAAAATTAACGTTTGGAAATTTCCCCTCATAGTTCTTCAGTTCTTCCCTCTTATTTTGAAAGGCTSAGACTGACTTCCTGTGTTCATTCAGTCACTGTTCATTTCATTTCTGAATGTTTGAGATAAAATAAACTTTTATAAAGTTTTCCACATCAGTCTTTAGATCTTCATCCACTCATTTCTAAAAGAAATATTTTGGTAACAGACACAAATACACGTTTTTATAAAAATAATAATTAAAAAACACCTTATCTGAGAACTTATGTCACTCATGCTTCAGATTTATATTTTATTRCATTAAATGAAAAGATGTCAGAAGCAGTGGACAGATGCAGTCCTTTATTTGGCCTSTAGATGGCAGCACAGAGCAGGGTTTAACAACATACAGGTAAAGGSACATTTCAGGTCATTTACAAAGATAAATATGTTAACAGTTTCTGCAGGACCTTAAAAAGCCATAAATTTTTAAATATTGTAGTTTTACAACCTAAAAAGTCTTAAATATGTCCAGATTTTTTAGTTTGTGTCTCAAATTGTTCCGTTTGTACATTTGTTTCTGTTGGCGTTTTATTTGTTCTGTTCGAGGATTTTAGGGTTAAAACTACAACTCCCATCATGCCTCAGTCCTGCCTGAATGGATCGATCTGCGCTTCTGAAACTGGTTTGTTGTAGTTTTTCATAAATTATTTGGTTTTATTTTTTAATATAGACCAATTAAATGTTGTTTTGTAAAATAAAATTTTTGACCATTTTTTTCCACTCAGGTTTTAAATTTGAATAATGGTCTGTAAATTTAAGACTTTTTTTAGCTTGTTGGACCCTGCAGAAACCCTGTTATGTTGAAGATTAACAAAAACAGGAAGTGGTTATCTTTGGTATGGGACCTTACATTCAGGTATCAGTAGAACAAAGTGTTGACAGTGCAAACTTTAGTTTTAGCTCGATAAGAAAGTTAAATCATCAGGAGTGAAGGATGAATCCAGATAAATGTTCTTATTTCTTGTTTTTCTTCTATAGGAACTTCTCAGTTGAAGCTGCAGACAACGAGCTCCCCCTAGTGGCTGACTCTGATATAACTTAAGCCCCACCCCCTCCRTGTAAACAAATGGGACATTTTCCTGAMTAAAATACATGGTAGGTTTTACTTTGCTGCTGCTTTTTAAAATATGTTTATTTTGTTGTTTTGAGATTAAAGAAAGTTCTGTTAAACTGTGATTGACAACCTACTGAGCCCGCGAGGGGACATGGGGGATTTTTTTTTCTTTTTGCGTTCCCACGCAAAAGTATTGCGTTACCTCGCAATACCTTTAGCGTTCCCTCACAAAAGTAGTTTATCACTGTTGTGCTGCTGGTTTATTAACAAACGCACATGTTCACCATTAGCGAGTTAGCTACAGCTTTAATTCAGCTTCAGAATGAATATATCACACAACCACGCATGGAAGTATGTCATATGTTGATATTTTAACACAGTGCAGCCACGCAACATCAATGTCAATTTCACKAAGTTGTGGCAACACATCCTGTTTTGGTAACCGGATATTTCAAAATAAAAGTCTGATTTAATTCAGTTCATATACAAATCAAACTTTTGCGTGGGAACGCAAAACAATATTGCGAGGGAACGCAAAAGAAAAAAATCTCCCATGTCCCCTCGCGGGCTCCGTAACAACCTGTTAACGAGTTGGGCGGGGCTTCCACAAGCAAACGATTTGGCTTCAAGGCGGAGCATCGTGAGTAGGCGGAGCCTGAGCGAGGACGGCCGTCCTCAGCCCTCCCTGCAGTCCACGAAGTTCCCTTTGATCCAGTAGCAGATCTGTGCGTATTTCAGAGGCGTGACCCTCACTGCCACGTTGAACTCCTGCGACGCCCCCTGCTGCTCCACCCACTGGTGCCCGGAGAACACGCCAATCACCTTCCGCTCCCAGCGCCGCCGCCGCCCGTCCCACATCCGGGCGTAGACCCCRGAGCCGCTGGCCCCCGGCTGGGCGTCGCAGTGCTGGTACAACAGGTCTGGCGTCTCCTCGCCGGCCAGGCAGAACCGGTACACCAGTCGACCCGGGCGGTCGTTGTCGAAGCCCGAGAAGTGGACCCGCCTGCCGGGCAGCCGGCGTGCGGGGGGGCTGACGCCGAGCTTCATGTGGCGCCGTTTGTGGGGCTTTTTGAGCTCGAGCAAAGCGTAGTCGTAGTCCATCCCGATGTCGTTGGCGTTCCCTTTGACCCAACCTTTGGGGACGTGGGTACGCTTGGCTCGGATCCACTGGAACTTCATCCTGTCGTTGGTGGGCGGGGCGAAGGGGGGCGGGCCTCCCTCCACGTGGTTGGTGAAGTTCGAGAGGCGGTGCCCGGGTGAGTGCTGCGCGTCTCGTTTTGGTTTCAGGAAGCCGACCCGGAGCTTCTGAGCTCCTTTCACATAGTTCTTCCCGTCGTGAACGCAGTGGGCCGCCGTGAGGACGTGGCGGTCCCCCACCAGGGTCCCCGAACACCCGGTGGACAGTTTGACCGCCACCGAGAACGGGTATTTGAGCAGGAAGTCTTGCCCCGCGATGCTGAACCGCCCATCGTGGCCAAAAATCTGTCGTTTCCTGCGGACACGCGAGCCCTTGGTCTGCCCGGAGGTCCCGTACGCCGGGCTGGTGTCCCAGTTGGGGCTGTAGCCGTAGATCCCCACGGCGGTTTCGGTGAGCTGACCATTGGAATGGAGGGTCTCATAGGCCAGAAGGTGCCGCAGGTCCCAGTAGCTCAGGCGGGGGGCCTTTTTGTGGCACTCCAGGTCACAGTGGGAGGTGACCTCCAGGTGCGCCGGGTGCAGGAACTGTGGGGCGGGGCGGGCCTCCGTCTGCTGAGGCAGGACCACAGGGACACGCTGGAGAACCCACCAAGGTCGAGAGGAAGAGGAGGAGGAGGAGGAGGATGGAAGGAGGAAACACAGGAGGGAGGTAAACCTGCAGGTGGAGCAGAGACCAAAATGATGTCACAAACACAGAAGTGATGAAACACAGAGACATTTTTTAAAGTTTTCATCGTTTACTTCAGCTGGAGGAATTTAACTTCCTGCAAACGTCCAGAGTGGATTTAAAAACGAGCTGAAAGCAGCTGAAACTAGCAGAAAATGCTAAACTTATCAGGAATAAAACAAAAGAGCATGTGTCAGTCAGGGTGCTGAAATTACCTGAAAGTACCTGAAAAAAAGCTGAAATTAGCAGAATACAGCTAAAATCAGCATTTAAAGCTTATAGATGGAAATTGAAATAAGCAGACAGAAGCTGAAATTAGCTTACAGAAGCTAAAGGAAGCTAAAATTAGAAAAATCAAGCTGTAAAAACCAGAAGGATTGAAATGAACAGAAAGAGTTTGAAGGAAACTTTTCATGTTCGATGAGTAAAAAAGCTAAATATACAGACGAGTAAAAACTGCACAAATATAAAACATCACAGCAGGAATGAGCCGAACATTTTGATTTATGACTTAATGACAAAAACTGGAGAAGAGGTAATGTGCCGAAAAACTAAGTTAAAGCCTCAAAGTTCATTTATCTGTTAGCAAAATATCTCATGAACCACTGGGTGGATTTTAAATAAACCCTCATTCTTCATATCTTTTACACACACTGAGCTAAAGCTTCATGTGGTAGTAGCTGAGAGTCTCCTCTTCTGAACAGAAAATGGTTGATAAATCTCTGGGGCCACGTGCCTTCCTTTAAACAACACAGCTGGTAAACATGGAGCCAACAGKAACCCGCCCCAAAGAAAAACCCAACTCTGGTCTTTAACTTCACCCTTCAGGTTTCAGAAACTCAAAAATCTGACAGAAAAATAATAAATAAACAAACMAACAAACATCTGTTATCTTGAGCAAACCAATAAAACAGGATATAAATCACTTTTCGGGGATCTCCATCTGTGCGTAATTTACGCACGGCAACTCACCGGAGCAGCGCGGCGCCGGAGCGCGTCATGGTTCTTCTTCCCCCCAGCAGGTGGTCCTGAGGCTGAACCCCCCCACCCCTGAGGTCGCAGCAGACACCGGTGATCCCGCTCAGGAGCTGCAGACTCGATCCGAGCCGGGGCGGTTCGGCGCGGTCCACAGGAGGAAGCAGCTCGGCTCGGACAGAACAAGCTGGGTCATTGTTTCCCGCTGGAGGAGGTTCTCCCGACTGCTGGAGCTCCGGAGTGTCACATCCGCCGCGCGCACAGGGGTCCGGAGGAACCCCGAGCCGAGGTGTCACGTGACAGCGTCATCATCATCATCATCATCATCATCTTCCTCACTGCTGATCAGGTGTGTTTAATGATGAAGGTTCACCTCGTTAAACATCAGGTTTGTTTGTCAGAAATGAAAATTAACAAAAGATTTTATTATAAATCAAACAAAGTAAAAAATAAAAACAGTAAATAAATCAGTTATTAAATGTTTTTCAGTCTGAACGCTGACTCAGCATTTAGTCATGTTCTACAATCTAAAGGTTTCTGTAAAACACTGATATTTTAGCCGTTTATAAATCAAATTTCAGCTGATGGTTGTGACTTTTAGCTTTTTTTAAATTATTAAACTTTATTTTAAAAAGGCTGAAAGACTTTCAGCTCCTTCAGAGACTTTGTTCAGTTTGAAATCTGCTTCAGCTGCTGTTTCAGTTTTTTAAGCTTTTTTGCTAAATTCAGATTTTAGCTGTTGTCATGTTAATTGTAGCCTTTAGCTTTGGGCCTGCTAATTATAGTGTCTTCTATTAGCTTGTGCCTTAGCCATGAGCTGCTACATTTAGCTTTAGCTGCAGTTTTTCTAACTTTAGCTTTAACTTATGGTTTTGCTAATTTGTAGTTTTAGCTGCAGCTTTTAAGCTTTTAGAKAAGGACTTGCTTATTGTAGCTTTCAGCTACTGTTTGACTACAATTAGCTTTTTGCCTTTTAGTAACGGTTTTAGCCTTCAGCAATGGATTTTCTAAAATGTAGGTTTTAGCTGCAGTTTAGCTATTTAAATTCTTTAGCTGCTGTCTTGGTAAATTCAGTTTTAATTTTTAGCTGTGGTTTTATTATTTCTAGCTTTCAGACATGGTTTTTCTCGTATAGTTTTTAGCTGCCGTTTAGGTATTTAAAGCTTTCAGCTGCTGTCTCATTAACCTTAGCCTTTAGCTAAGTTTTGCTAGTTTTAGTCAGTGGGTAACATTTTGCTAATTTTCACGTTTAACTGCTGCTTTATTTTTTTGTCAGCTACTGCTTTGCTACATTTAGCTTTTAGCTGCTGTTCTGTTGTTTTTAGCCGCTTTTCCCCTCTTGTTTTAGCTTTAAGCTGTGGGCCTGCTAATTATAGCTTCAGTTACTGTTAGCTATTTGTGCCTTAGACATGAGCTGCTACATTTAGCTTTTAGCTGCGGCTTTTCTAACTTTAGCTTTAACTTATGGCTTTGCTATTGTAGCTTTCAGCTACTGTTTGGCTACAATTAGATTTTTACTGCATTGTTGCCTTTAAGTAACAGTTTTAGATTTCAGCAATAAATTTTCTAATATGTAGGTTTTAGCTGCAGTTTAGCTATTTAAATTCTTTAGCTATTGTTTTAGTCGTTTTAGTTTGCAGAAGCAGTTTTACAAATTTTAGGTTTTAGCTGTGGTTTTGAGACTTTGTTCAGTTTGAAATCTGCTTCAGCTGCTGGTTCTGTTTTAATGCTTTTATGCTAAATTCAGATTTTAGCTGTTGTTATGTTAATTGTAGCTTTTATTTATGGGTTTGCTAATTATAGATTCAGCTACTGTTTGCTGCTGTCTCACTAACCTTAGCCTTTAGCTACAGTTTTGCTAGTTTTAGTTAGTGGGTAACATTTAGCTATTTTTCACGTTTAACTGCTGCTTTATTTGTTCTTTTTTTGTCAGCTACTGCTTTGCTACATTTAGCTCTTAGCTGCTGTTCTGTTGTTTTTAGCCACTTTTTTCCCTCTTGCTTTAGCTTTTAGCTCATGGCGCAGCATTAAATCTGAACTCGGAGCGACAGAGTGAAGAGGAGTCCGACTCGTCCTCCGTCTTTCAGTGAYTGAAGCTTTTCTTTGTAACAGCCGAATGTTCTCTGACTTCAGATTCCTTCGGCTCTTCTGAATGTTTTCCTGAGATRTTTTATGGGAGCAGCAGCTGCTGCTGCGACCGTTGGCTGTGAGGAATTAGTCAAGTGGGCGAAAACTTGTTCAGATCCTTTGTTGGACGTTTTTTCTTTTAGCCTGAAGCGCTCAGGATGAAAATGTGCTCTCAGAGGATTTTATCATAAACAGCTGAAGTCAGAGAGGAGCACACAGCCGAACTTCAGCTGTTGTTCTTAGAGCAGATCATTCTTGGCTTCAGCAGCCTCCTGTCAAACACTYAAAGGTCAYAGATGAGCTGTGGTCAGATGTCTTCATCATCTGGGCAGCCTGATCCAGAATCTTAAAGTCCAATCAGAACCAGTCCTGATMTTTGGGGTCCTGGTCCTGTTGGACCCGACTGTGTCCATGTGTCCACTGTCCAGCTGTTGGTTTAAGGTGAAGATGAAGAATGTGGAGGTAGTCCTCCTCACTTTGTCCCACACCATGACACTGACTCCACCGTGCCTGACAGTTGGTTCAGGGTTCTGAGGTCTGAATGTCTCACCTGGACTCCTC